TTGATATCACAATTAAAATACATTTAAAAGCGTGAAAATAAATCAACAAATTATCTACGTAAAATGGCATTCCATAAGTTTTCTCCCTTCTTTCTTCAATGGAAACAAAAATAAATATCAATAATAATAATAATAAAAATGTACAAAGAAAATTTAGAACAATGATCGAGAAAATTGATCATTGTGGATAATCGTACAATAAATTATAACAAAAATAATTAAGAGTTTTCATGTTCATCGTTCATCAATGGCATGCAGAACGTAAGTTTCACCCGCACTAATGCAATTCAATACTGTTGACAATGATTTAAATTTGATTTATGTTAGAAGGTAAGCAGGAAATCTCCAGCACTACCTGTGGTGAAAAAGATGTGGTGAAATTTCCAAAACACCGTTAACTCACCACTTTCTTTTCACCACTTCTACTTCGATAACAAATTCTTTTATATTGTCAACAGCATGGCAAAAAGGAATTAAAAATGTTAAGAAAAGCAACAAAAGTATTCTACAACTTCTAAGGGTATCGTTTTATATTTATATCTCTTGAATTTCTCACCTGACCACCACTAGAAATAATTGTTGCACCGCTCACCGGATGTAAGGCTGGTATTTGATTGTTCGTTTGGACTATCGTCGTTTGACCTCTGATTGTTGTTAATGGTCGTATATTTGGAGTTGCTGTTCGAACAATCTGTGGTGTTGTTGGTCTTATCGTCGTTTGACCGATTCGTGGTGTTCCTGGCTGGACCATTCGTATTTGTGTTTGTCCAATATTTCCTGTTGACATCACTGTCTGACCGATGGGACGTATTTGGGCCTAAAACAAAGAATATTTTTAGTTGATTATCATAAATCATTGAATGATGTGTTTGATTTACTGGAATTTGTGCAGTGATACCCGAGAAAGCAACTGTTGGACTTGGCGGATTTATTCCTTCAATTATAGTTTCTTTTGTCACTAAAGACTGCCTTAGAAGCGGTAGACTTCTCTGTAATTCAATAAATAAACGATTTAATGTTGGCACTGCTTATGAAACATTTTCATGTCTCACCTTAAGAAAGCCAACTAGACACGGTTGCGGTGCAGCATTGAGTAAATTTTCAAGCTTTTTACAAAAGTCCTCGGGACCAACATTCGCATCAACAAGCTCTTGAATTAAAGTTTTAACATTAAGCTCAACTTGTGCAGGCTCTCGTTTCGATAAATCAATCAAGTTTGTTAAAAATTTTCGACATTTCTCTTTGGCATTGTCGTTCCTTTGCGTTGGTGATTGTGTGACTGTCGCTCCACCAGTTTGCTGCCCTACAACTGCCGTTGGCTGACTTTGCGATTGTACTTGATGGGTAGTGGTGAGAGCGGGCACTTGAGACACTGACACGATTGGTGTCGTTTGTGTTGTGAGGATTTGGGGTTGTTGCTGTTGTTGATTGTTTGGTGCTGATGATGTCGTGACATAAACCGTGTTGTTTGACGCTATTGACTAAAAATTTAAATTTGTATAATTTATTAATGGAAATTGCAATAAAGTCAGTAAGAATAGAAAGGAAGGATACGTTGTAACTCATCTACATTAGAGCAACAAACATTCCTCCTCTTCATGCAATAAATTAAAACAGAACGTAAGTTTAATAAGAAAAATATTCAGGTTCATAGAAAAAAAACAATCATTAAAAAAAGCTTTTCTTTTTTCAATTTGAAACAACAGGAGAAACATATTTCGATATTCTTTCTCGATTCCAAATCATAAGAAAGACAGAAACGTACACGACTTCATTGATCTATAAATTCATGCTTACTAATTATGCATCAGCCGATCAAAGAAAGAAGAAATAAAATATTGATAATCAAATCAAATGTAAGCAGAAACTGGAACTTAAAAAAAGAACGTTTAATGAACATTGAAAATCATTCTCAGTTTCGTCAACGAAACAAATCTTGAATTAAAACGTGATGCGAATTTACATTTTGCTTGTTCTGTTTCACCTGTTGCGTGAGAATTGTCTTTCTGAGTGCTAGGGTTGGTCCGGAGAATCTACTTACAGCTGGTACTGTTTGCAATCGAATCGTACTGCCGCCAGTTGGCGTTAAACCTGGCGTAACTTGAGCACCTGGTTGGGCTGCTGCTATACGAAGAAGCTGATAAGACCCATTGTCTTGCTTCAGCAGAATTGTATTTCCTTGCATGCTTTGTGGTAGGTTTTGAAGTGTTATCTGAAATCATTTTAAAATCATGTAAAATTCTCTTCCATAAAACTCTCACAAAAAAATATCTCACCGTATTATTTTGAGGCCGAATCTGTTGATTAATCACTACACGTTGTGGACCAACGCCAGGCTTCTGTACAGTTTGAACTCCTGTTTGTGGTCGAATATTAACCAGTAAATTACTTGGCAATGCAACAATATTTGATCCCGTTGCCTAAAATTGATTTTTTAAGAAAAAAAGATTTCAACTTAACGTCAACACTACAAATTGGCGCGCTTTAAATGCATAAAGCACACACAAAGAAAGAAGAGAATAAAAACTGATATATCGGTCATTGCCATCACTTTTCTCTATCTCTCTCTCTCATCTGTTTTCTTTTTATTCTTTTAGTTTTGTTTTCTTGTGTCTTTACACGACACAGAAAATGCAGCAAAAGCAGCATCAGGAAAAGATAAAAAGAAATTAAGAAATTCACCTGATTATTCGTCTTTGACATAGTAACAGGCGTTGATGTCACAAATGTGCCAGGAGATGAGCTGTTGGTATTCTTAAAAATCAATGTCGGTGCTTGTTGTCCACCTGATGTTTGACCAGCAAGTTTTATGTTCGCTCCTTGCATTATGGTTTGTTGTTGTTGACCCGACTGTTGTGAAATCTGATTTGCTGTCATTGGTGATAAAGTTATTGTACCATTCTGAACAGGTGCGCTCGAGAAAGTGACACGATTGTTGTTCATAGTCACGATCGTAGAGGATTGAGCGTTATTGTTGTTGTTGTTACTTGAAGGATACACTAATTTAACTGGTTCATTCTTTGGCATATTTAAGTGATTCTGAGTTGTCTGCAATGGATGCTGTTGACCAGACACGAAGTTTGAGAAGATTTGCTGGTGGCTTACACTCGGCTGTTGATGATTGAAATGATTGTTGTTTATCGTCGAATGCACATTGTTATTAGACTCAGTCGCTTTTGTGAAATTTGCGCTATTTGTTGATAATGAGGACACTACGAGGAAGACCGAGATTGGAATTAATAAACTTCTTTTATACTTTTTTTTTCAAATCCACACTCGTCTTTATTTTTTTTTTCTAGTGATCGTCAAGTTTCTTTTTTTTTTCTTTTATGTTACACAAAAAAAATAACAGCGACGGATAACAGAAGCCCCTTAATCGACACTGATTTAATGATGCTTATGTTAGTAGAGAAGTTTGAAATGATTAGTAATTAATGGTTAGAATGAGAAGAGTTTTGTTATTTCAAAAATCGAGAAAAAAATCTCCTTTGGTCATAAAATTCTTTAAAAATATTTTTCTTTTAATTTTCTAGCGCACCATTATTTTGTGAATCATTTGAAGATATTGCGAGGTCATCACTGAGTTTATTCACATCACGAACGCCATTACACAATTGCAACGAGCCCGATTCTTGTTCTAAGGACTTTTCTAAAGAACCAACAAGTTGATTTACAGCGGTTTCATCGTCAACATTTTTTATTGCCTCGTCGAGTAGGAAGGCAGACATTTTCTTCGTTCGAAGACCAGTGACAGACTAAAACGACGCATGATCGATGGAGGGAAATTATAGCAACTTCACAAACACTTCTCCACTCTCATTTTAATCATCAAATGAAAAATTTAAAATATTTCCGGTTGAAATTAATTTAATAAATTAAAAAAGAAATATTTCTGGATATATTTTGAAGAAATATTTAAAACTTAAATTTAGTACATTTTTTGATGTTGAATAAATGAAATGATTAAAAGATGACTTCATCGCAATGAAATGTTGAACTCCAGAAGATATTAAGAGGAACTTGTGAGTAAATTTTTTATAGCAACTTTCAGAGAAACTATGTAAATAAATATCTGATGAGCTAATCATCAAAAGATATTGCATCTTCAAAGATTATCTTCTGCATTTTATTTTAAAAGTCCATTTCGAAAGAACGATGAGAGAATGGTGATAAAGTCTATCTAAGAACTCAGCGAAGATTCTGATAAGAATTTACCCAGAAACGAGATAACACGAAGTTGTTTGAAATCCGGTAGATGGGGTGAAGTTTGATTAATCCAAAAATTTTGTCACTTCACCTAATTCACATTTTTCTTGCATACAATATGCAATGGAATTTTATTTTCAACTCTTCAAAATATTTTACAAACATTATTATTTCTCACTTTTCTAAGCGAATGAAATTGTGACAAAACTTATGAAAGTATCCTGAGAAAACGAGAAAATTTCTTGTACTACTTTTCACGGCTTCTTCATTCATTCCTCTAATGCTTAGGTAAACGGACGCATCAATGATTCCACAAGTAACACTTGACAATAACAATAACAATTTAGTGCGATTATGAATTAAAATAGCGCAAATTTCACAAATTTTAATCGTTGTCGGGGGATTCAAGGCTTTACCTTTCTGTGTAAACGGGGCGACTTTATAGCAAACTTTCGAGTTTTTTTCTTTAGTCTCAACTTATAATCGATATTATTTGGAACTGATTCCAATATCACCAAAGCCACTTTAAAATGTTAACTTTATTACATTTAAATAATCAGATGATATTTATACGGACACAACATGTTGTGGCTTTCCTGAACTTAGCTAACTTTTCGCGTAAAAACACTTAAAATTGGTCAAACAATTTTGTTTTTAGTATTAACGCTTTAAATTTACTTTTTTCAACTTCACTTTGTCTTAAGCACGAAGCAATGAAAGTTCTTAAAAAAATTCACTTGTTTTAAGCCGGTAAGATTGCGTTTTTATCACGCTTTTTAATATTTTAATTTGTGGCTTGAATATATCTTTCCTGCTTTTTTTTCTCTTCTCATATTTCAAGTAAAAGTTATTGCAAGCTCATTATTAAAAAGCGCTTTTTCTGTTCATATGATCTTGGGAAATTGTTAACATGAAATTTTCCTGTAAATTTTTATTGACTGTTCATTTATTAATCAAATCTCAAATGTTTTTATCCTTATGACTACAAAAATAAGGATACAAACATTAATTCCATATGGTTTACACTTTTATGACAACAGATATTTATCGAATAAAAATTGAAAATTATGCTAACTCTTTAAATATTCCGTTACAAGTCATATTGGAGACTTTCATAATTCAGAAAAGTCTACAAAATTGCAGCATGGAAAACTTGAATCGTAGTGAAGACACAATCCTTGGCCAAATCACAGCTCATATCAGAAAGTTTCATATTAGGTAGGTATTTCAATTGATTTCATCTGAAATCATAAAAGAAGAAATTAGTTTAAATGCTAATCAAGATCATTTTTACAATGTCACTCTTTTAGTTTATTATTCCAATCTCTTTCACTTCTAGAGCGGATTTATGCTTTTACTGCCAGATAACGTCATTCTTTAGAATCTCGTAAATTCGCTATTGAAATTTTTACCTCCGTATAAAATTGTGAAATGTTTCTTTGAGCAACAAATAAAACCTCTCCATCAAAAAGATTTAAATTTAAATCAAAAAAGCTTCACGTTCTTAAAGCTTTCTTTTAAGATAAATGTCTCTGGTTTGTTTTTTCTATATTTTATAAGCGTGATACATCTCTGTATGAAGACTGATTGAAATAACTTTTTAATACAATTTAAGCTTATTTATTATAGATTTTATTAAGTAAATATGATCAAGTATCTTGTTTTAAGACACTCTTCTATAAAATCTGTTTACATTAATAACCAAATGTCTAAGGTCTCTAACCGGCAGCTTTTCTGCATCAATACTGCTGCTTATGCTAATCTTCTATCATTTCCAGTTATATTTACAAAAATTAAAATATCTGAGACGATTCACCCAAAATCTGAAACATTCAATTTATCGAAATTGATTTTTTTATATCGTGGCAAATTGTTAGTTTATATAAACATACATAGATGAAAAAAACTCACCCTGTTAAGTAATTTTTTATAATCTTCTTTGGTTAAAAAAAAATTGGAATAATTTTAACTTGAAATAATTTTTGATGACTCATTGACTATTATACTAATCATTAGCTATGAGAATGGACATCACCAATTAATTAAATCAGCAGTTCTTGATCAAGTGAAGCTGAAAGGTGTTAAAAGCTTTAAAACGATGGGACTCTGAAATCAGAACTGCTTCTTAATTCTCTTCTCTCATCAAAGTCACATACAGCACGACTCGTGTCATTAATAACTTAATGATTAAAGAATGATAAATCATTCGATGATCACGATTTACTTCTTAAAAACAAAACAGTTATTTTTATTTTTAATGCGTTTTTATTAATTATGGCACTTACATCTATTTATCCATGTTAAGGTTGTTCTGATAGTCATCCAACAACTTTAATAGCATGTTAATAAATCTTATAAAACTCTCAAAACTTACAAATTTCAATTCCTTTACCCACGATGAACTGTGCAATTGTTTAGTCGACAGCATCGATTTATTCTTACAATCGTTTGAAAGGCGTCCTTGGGGTAGTGAGTGTCAGTAAGTAGTCAAAGCTATGGGGCGTAATATTTTCAACAACTCTTCCGATTCTGTTACTGTTCACACTGTAATCTTGAAGCGCATTGTAAATAGAAAGCGAACCAATACTAGAAGTTCTTGTTGTCTTCTTCAATAAAGTGGGATTGACATTAAAGTCTTGACGAGTAGTCGTGATTTCGGGATTTATGTTGGACGCTTTTGATGTTGATGAACTCGATCGTGTTGTTGACTTCGAAATAGAATTTGAATTTTTAATAATAACTGTAGAACGATCACTAAACTGTACTGGCCGATAGTTGATAGGAGCCTTGGTTGTATCTTTTAAATAAAAATCAAATAAGTTGAAAGGCTTTATGGTGGCCGTCTTACGTTTCGTTTGCTGCGACTCAATTTTTGATTGCGAAGCAGTCGACTGTCTAATGGAATTTTTTGTTGTTCTTGTCGATGCTTGTGTTGCTTTTGGCTTGTTATTTATAACAAATGATTGCTCAGTGGTCGCAGATGTTGAACTGTGATTTATGGAAATATTCTTTGTTGGTGAATTCCCCAACGTCGTTCTTCGAGTCGTTTTCGTGTCTGGATTTTTGATTTCATTTCTCGAATTTATCTCACGAACAATACTTGGCTTGATTGATGCTGCTTGCGGAACTTTTGTAGTTTTTGATTGTTTTTGTTCTCTGACAGCGATCCTTTGTGAAGTCACAACATCATTATTAGCCAACGAGCCTTTTCCAATAGAATTGAAATATAAATCAAAAATATTAAATGGCTTTACAGTAGTCTTGGGATTCTCGACAGGTCTTTGAGTTTTGTCTGGAAGTTTAATTGACACTTTCGTCGTCGCTTTACTTGCTGTTGTCGTTGACTTCTGTTTGGTTGTTGTTTTTGTGGTTACTGATTTGGGAGTAGTTTTGACTTGTCGTGTAGTTGTTGGTGGTTTTGAAGTTTGACTGGTTGTAGGTTTTTTAACAACTGTCGTAACTGCAGGTGCTTTCTTTATTGTTACTGGCGCTCGAGTGGTTGGCTTTGTTGTTGGCGCTCGAGTGGTTGTTGTTCTAGTTGAGGTTGTTGGCACCCGAGTTGTTGTCTTTGTTGTTTTTTTGGCGGTCGTAACAGTTGTCGTTCTTCTGGTTGTTGTCGGTTGCGTAATAGCAGGTCGAGGAACGATGTCATTACTAGTGAAACATCCATCAATGTAACTTTGAGATCTTCCTTGGCAATATGGTCTATAAACAGCCCAAGCATTGAAACCATCACCTGAAAGGAACCGATGTTCATCGTGAATCTTCAACATGCATTCAACGTCGTCTGAGATGTCACTGTCTTCCAACTGACTGCATGTAAGACCACAACCTTTGCCTCTTCCTGGTGGGCTGCACCAATAAATGTCGCTTATTTGAAAAAGTCCATGATCTTCACTTCCGTCTGCATTTAATCGACCGATGGCTGAAGTATTAAAACCAGATTCGTGTTTAGCAATGCAAACCCAAGTCGCGACATCTTCCATAGGAATATTAAATTTGTATCGAAGTTCCTGTGCCAGTTCACATCGTTCATAAATTTTTCCTGCATCTTTTGAAACTTCAATTTGCTTTCGTTGTTGAGTAACACTCGCATAATTTTTTTGCGGCTGTTGAACGCCTGGACGTGGACGATATGGCATTATTTCATTTTCACTTGCATCAAAGCAACCATCAGCAAATCTTTTTGATTGTTGTCCTTTGCATCTGGGATAAACTGCCCATGCAGTGAAACCATCTCCAGAGATCCTTTGATGTTCCGCATGAATTGTCTTGATGCACTTGACATCGTCGGTTATGTCGTTGTCTCTTAAATCTGTACATTTCAAACCACAAGATTTGCCACTGTCACCACACCAGTAAATGTCACTGATTTGAAACAATCCATGGTCGTTACTTCCATCCCAATTCAATCGACCGATTGCTGATGTATCGAATGCTGATTCGTAATTTGCAATGCACACCCAAGTCGCCACATCTTTCATCGCTATGTCATGTTGATAATATAACTCTCGTGCTAGATCACATCGGTCATAAACTTTTCCCCGACTGATATTTCCTGGTTTTTTCGACTGTCGCGGTGTTATTTCAAGCGGTTTGATTATTTGATTATCTTCTATGAAACATTCTTGAATAAAGTCGTTGCCTTGTGATTGACAGTATTGAGATGATGGCCACGCATTAAATCCGTTGTTAAACAATCGCTGATGCTCATCATAAATTATTTGCACACAATTTAAGTCATCAGTGATATCATTGTCAGTTAAGCTTGAGCATTGCACATTGCAAGCCTTACCAGCATAATTCCTTTCGCACCAATATTCGCTGCTTAACTGATACATCCCGAAATAAGTTCCATCACCAACAGCCGCTGTGTTTAAGTTTGATTGACGTTCAGCAATACACACAAGTACCCCAATACGATCCAAAGGAATGAAATGCTTGTCTCGAAGCTCCAAAGCTAGTTCACATTTCTGGTAAACTTTTGCATCTACAAAATAGATGCCAGCAAAGATCACGACGATGATGCGCAAATTTAATATTTTAATTTTCATGACCGAAGATTTTTCGAACTGCTGTTCGCAACGCTTCGAGTAGAACTGACTCGAGGCACTCAATTTTATATCCACCTGATGATGCGAATCTTGTTTTTCTCATCTTCTTCTCTCTCCTTCATCATCATCTAATATTCATTGATAAAAATGAATCTTCTTAAATGATGTCAAATCTTCTAAAGTCATTAAAACTGAAGATTTATAGCTCAACAAGATTTTGAAGTTCACACACGAAAATTTATTCCCAGAAGCGATGTTTTGGTTGTAGAATTCTTTTATGACGCTTTCGATTTCACTTGTGGGAACTCTACGCTTCATCTACGAGTCTAAGAAAGAAGTCATAAAAAGACTAATTAACATAAACATTTTAATTGTTGTATCGTTTCAAAATAATTAAAAGGCGGCAAAGTTTCTTTGTTACTCAACATTGAGCTTTCTTTGGGGAACTTTGAGCTTTCAAAAGCTTTCACTTTAAAGCTATTTCTTGTTACATTCTTTTCTAATTTTCCTTCTTCCTTAGAATTTAGAAAATTAATCTCTTAAATAATCTTTTTTCTCACAATAAAATCACCGCATCCCAGCAACTCATCATTAAAGCATTTAAAATATTCTTGCATGCTTTTTCGATTGTAATTTGGTAATGTCAAACCAAAAATATTTTTCCACTTCCAATAATCAGCGATCGTCTTCCTTAAGACAACAACGAGTCACAAAATTCTCAGAAAAATCAAAACAAAAATAAATTTGAAAATTCTTTATTGCTTAAATGTTTTAATTTTTGTGACTCATTAAACGAAGAATGAACCAGATTTTCAATGTTTAATGATGAACATCAAAACCAGATTTAAAAGAAAAAAAAAACCTACAAAACTGCATGATAAAATAATTAAGAAATTTACGGTTCTTGGCCACCTGAAAGGAAATGTTTTCACTGTGATCATCTCCAAGCTTCTTCTGACTCCGATCATAAAATATTTATTAGCTTTTTCTTAATAAATTTTTTTATTCATTTCTTCGTCTTTATCATTTTCAATCTTTGAACTTTTGTTTACTTATGTAATAATTGACATTAAAATTAAATAGTTTCATTGGCACCTTATAACTGGTATTACTAATCCAGTTCAATTACACTTATCACATTGCTGTCATCTTGCTATCCTTTCACGTCATATATTGGATCGACTGATGCTGAATTTTTCACTTTTCTTGTTAATAAATAATACCATAAAAGCATTCCAAATATCAATGCAACACCAATCCCCACAAATGACCATTGAAGCACTGCTACGAGTGTCAGAACATTTGTCAAGTCTCCTTTTATTAAATCTGTCATCTCTTCATTTAATTCTAAACCTTCGTCGACCCACAGAACAGGAAATAGTCGAGGTATTTTAAAGTTTTCTGATAATTCTAAAATGAATGAAAATTTAAGTTGAATGTTAAGTGTGAAGATGTCACAACAATCTTACTTATTTGTTCAATTTGTTTCAAGAACATGTTAAATTGCATTCGCTTTCCCCCTCTCAAAGGTGAACCAGTGTAAGGTTCAACATCCATGAAAATGTTATGTTTTTCAGGTGTTGCGTTAAGACCTTCAACCATGACATTGTATCGTGGATCAGCATTAAGAAAATGTGGCAATGTCGCAACAACTGGAGCATCTTTAAATGTTAAATTATTAAAATTATTTTATCGTCTTTAAATATTAATTAAACATTTTCTTACCTAAGCAATCAGTCAAATCTAATGCACCAGGATACAAACATCCACTGTTCTCAGTCAAAGCGCCTTTAATCTTGTCTATACAAAAGCAATCAGGCATTTCATTGAGGAAATTATTACGAATCGAATAGCGGAATCCTCGGATGCCGTTATAATTAATTTCTTCATCATAAAAAACTTGAACCGATCTGAAAATTTGAAAAACAAATATTTGAGAGATGTTTTGAAATTGAGACGTGTGTTGATGTTTTTTAGCTACCGGCAAATGTCGCTTGAAAAGATGTAAAGATTGTCATTTGCTTGTCTGAATGGAGCCACAGCAGTCCCATCAGTTCCATTAATAAATTGACAAGTTGTTGGTGCACCATTTTTGTCAGCTTTCCAATGTGGTAAAACTCTTGCATTGTTCCATCTTTCAATTCTCATGAGTCGCTCTAATCGTCTGATGCCCGTGTTGACTTCATACAAACCATCGTGAGTGACATTTTTCTATAATTAATCATAAAATTTTATTCATTATCAGATGATGAGAATGTTTACGAGCAAACTTACATGATTGAACATTGAAAAGCGTAGTGCATGATTATCTGGTGTCTTTGTAATTGTCGCTGATTTTCTGTCTTCAACCATTTGACAAACAAGTTGAGCGACACCAACAGGATCTCTGCAGAACTCAACTCCATCAAATAAGAATTTTCTTGGTGTTGTCTTCACGAAGAATGAGTTTGTTGGCCCAAAGATCGTATGAAGTTGATCATTAATTACCGGCATGAAGAACGGCGTTTCATTTTCCACAGTTTGAAGTATCGACTGTTGATGTAAAATTAATGTACATAAGTCATTAATGAGTTGCAATCTATCATGGATTGTGCAAAGCTACGTTAGATGAAATGCCTGTCCATGTATTTAATCAGACAGTTATCTAAGTACTCTTATTAAATACTTGAGTTATGAAACAACATTGTAGCATCTTTCACAATTTCATTTCATGTCGTCTCGTCTACTCATAATACAAATCCGATTATTAGTTTTGATTAATATTTTAGTTTTTTCTTTGTAAAAAGCCTTTAAAAAGTTGCTAAGTATTAGTATTAGATAAGTGAAGAAACAAATTATCCATTTGATCGTTTCCGAAGCTTAAACAATCAGAATTTGAAGTGTTTGGCATTACTACTAAATGTGATTAATTTAAAACTTCACTGAAGTTGGTAGGAAAAAAAGTTGATTGGTGGCTATCGACAATCGTTAAAAAATCTCTGCACAGTTTATGTGGGTTTTCGAAATGTTAAACGATTGTAAGTAATCTGTGTTAACAACATCGTTAAAGTTCGTGTCGTGAGAGAAGTGAAAATATTATCAAATGGATTATTTAATTAATGTTTAATGGAGACAGCCGATCGAAGTCACTACAAACGAGCTTCGTCGAAGACAATAAAATGTTGAGCAACACAATCAGAAATGTCAACCAGCACACACACAAAATCACAATCAAAGATCATTCAAAAGAAAACTCAAACGAAATAGAAGTTGAAGTGAAATAAAAAGCTTCCAGAAAGAGGAAAAGTTATTCTAATGAGTGGTGAAATAGATAAATAAATTTTGCACTCGTTGGTTCTGCAATTGCCAAGCCAATTACAAGTTGAAGTATTGCAAAAGATTTTTTAGAGTAAAAAGTGAGAATGAAGAACTTTTCACCCATAAAAAAATTAAAACTTCTTTCTTCTACATGGCAACAAACATTACTTGAAGTGGCGTATATCGATCCAGCATTTTCTTGACGACATTGACCACCGGTATATGATCGATCGTTCGCTCTACACCCCTCGTCATATTTGAAATAATTTGTCTACCTTCCTTATCAATAATTTGTAGAATAGTCTACAAGAACAAATTAAAAGTTAATATATACAATCGACATCGTATCGAGTATCGAATCTCTTTGGGTATCAGAGAGTAATTTTGAAGCATAATGTTGTTAATTAATTATCTTATCAATTAGAGCATCAATTTCAAGGATAAAAATTAAATTTATAAATATTTTTTTAGTTCACTATTCTAATGGATTAATTCAATTAAAACAAACACTTAATAAAGCCAATCAGTTATTTGATTATCAAAGCAATAAAATTATATCGACTTACATTCATATGCATGTTCAATACTGTTATGTCCATGTCTTCTGTCAGATAACCCGACTTTTCTTTGTTGAAAGTGAAACTCATTTGTGAGTAATATGACACTCGATCAAGACTTCGGCTGAATCTGATGTTGTGCTTCTTTCGTGATTGTCTGTTTTGTTAATGTTAATGAGAAATAACCCAAAGGTTAAATGCGTCATGTTTATTGAATCATAAAATAATTCTTACGAGTAGACGAATGGTCCAATCTCTTCAAGCTTCGGTATCATTCCTCTTTGAATTTCATCAACATTTGTAACATTAAATATGTAAACTTTGAAATCGAGTGGTTGTGGAACTTCCACCCAACGCTCGTACTGCTCGGTGCCTTCAACAAGTTGAACGTTCTAGAAAATACGAAAAACTTTCATTAATGATTTATTTGAAGATTTCATCTAATTTGTTTACACGTGATGCGATCAAATAATGTCAACATATTCGACTGTGATTTAGAAATTGACCAAACCTTAAGGGAATTGATTACTTTTGTAAATATGCCCTCATTATTCTCATAATCACATAATTTCGTTATCGTTGGCGTTTCAAAATTTTATGTTCTGTAATATTTCTTTCTCGATAAGATTTCAATAAAACTCTTTAAGTAAATCGATCTTTGTACTTGAATTTTTGCCCCAAGTTGTCTAAAATAGCTGAAAATTCTCGCTGATAAGTGAAAGATTTAAATGCGGCTTTCGACAAGGTAATTGATAGCTTTGTAATCTTTTATTTTTCTCGTTTGCAATCTGTTAAGATTCGACTCTTAATAACAAGACTTAAAGTATTAAAACACTTTTGAAATTATGTGCTTTAAATATCACCAAAGCCTAGTTTCAAATGACCACGAATTGACACAAAATTCCCAATAAATTTACAATAAAAAAAATTGACATTAAAGCAAACTCAGCAGATTGCGATTATTTTCATTAACAACTAAATTACTCACGCGAATTTGTCATTTCAACAACAACGCAACAAATTTTAGAGCAATTGAAATCTCATCAATTTATTAGTTGAAACATTTCTCTTGAACTTGCTTTGGTTCCATCAAAGAAATGAAGAAACGAGTTAAGAAGGTCAAAAGTTTTGAATGAATAGTCGGAACAGGTAAGTGTTAACAGTTTATTAGCGACAAGTTTTCGACCTCATAGAAATTGAATCATAACACTACAAAGTGTAAAAGTTTTAAGGTCAAAGACTTAATTTATGTATACAAATTTTTGCATCGCGTTGGCGAGAGCAATCTTGTTACTGTAGATAAAAAAAAGTCTCAATCGTGCGGAACTAAATGTTTAGATGCATTTCCAATTCGAGCTCGTTTTTTTCCGGGTGTTTAAATTTAATGAACGTAGATAATTATTGAGATGACAAATAACGAGCTTAACTTCATTATTATACATCAATGAATCTCTGAAATAAATTACATTGCACTTTATTGAATTTTCAAAGCTGTGATTTGAATTCTAAGGGTCGATAAGTTGAAGTGATTTGTGTGGATCTCAACACATTTTATGATGAAATTATTGAAACAGATGAATAAAAACTAAAATTTTAATATTCAAAGAGAGTGAGTTTGTCATTACTTATTCTCATGAGACAGCATAGAAACGCAATTAACAATTTTCACAAGTAAATCCTTTGAACATTTGAACTGACAGATCAAACTGAATGAATTGTTGAATCATTGACACGTTTGTGTAAATGTTTTTAAAACAATCTCAAGTTTCTGCCTTCTAAAGACAATATCAAAGTCTTAAACAGTTGAAAAGGTGTCCCAATAATGTTTTAAATATTATTTTCGCAAGATTTTGTGACATTCTTTGTCTCTTTACATTGCTTACCATTCAACAATTAGTTAAACTATCGTCAGCAACCGGTTTCGTTCTTAATTAAGTACAATGGTAATAATTTTTTTTTGATACTCCCGAAAAAATTGAACAAGCGTCATAAAAATCTGACTAACCAGATATTTATTTAAAAATAACTCATTGTTTGTTGATTATTCCTTTTCAAACTTGAAAAATAAAATTACACGCTTTATCGATTTCTTCAAGTGGTTTCAAGTCTTTTTTTTTTCGGTAAATCTCAAATCTTGCTCTGCTAATAATTTTGTGTTAAACATTCTTACCAACAAAAAAGTATACAAAGAAAAGCTTTCAATGAACTTTATTGATAATGACCTTCACTTAAAATTTAAGCGAAATTCAAGGCGAGAAATAAATGTTTGAGTGGTAAAATTAGTGGTCAATTTTCTACGCAGATAATTGATCATCCAACTGATAAATCCTCGATGTATGAGATCAAACAAACTGACTTTTCCATTATATCATAATTGAATAAATGATAATCTTTCCAGCTTTTAAGGCCACATCTGAGACATTTAAAAACAAATTTGTTGCTTAACACCAAATATGTGGGAGTTGTTTTCTTTCATTAATTTTTCTTACGTAAGTAAATCGCCGTGATTCAACAGTTGATAAATATAAACATGTGTACGTCAAAACGTGTAAGGTAATTTCGAATTAAAGTTTTGAAAGGAAATAAATATTTAAATGTAGTGTAAGTACAGTGTAATTGTCTGAAGTCATAATCCCAAAAAACCAGTTTCTTTCTACAACACTGACTCTCTTTTAACATTCTTCTTAGTTGAATGAAGCCTTGAATGGATCCGATATTGTTGAAGATTTTAAGAATTGTGATTCTCTGAATTTTTTCAAAGAATAACCAATCATCGCAGAGAAAATGGTTGATTGAAACTTTCATTGACGTCAATGATTTCAGTTACTTGATGTTGCTTGTGAAATTTTCAACTAAAATTTTTTTCTTCTTTAATTCATTACGCTTAAGCTTCACATTTAAGCATTCACTTTTGAATTATCTTAACTTTTCATTCTATCTTAACTTTTCCCTATTTTCACGAATGGACTTTACAGACATGAGAAAATAGTTGTTAAAATAATTTCTTTTGAGAATGAATTGTTCAATTTTTAATGTTTAACAATATTGAAAGAAATCAAAATTAATATTCGTGATTGAAAATAAAAAACAAATATTATGCAATCACACATGATGACTCGTTTTGCAAGAGTTGAAAAGAAAGTAAGGAGATTGAAAATTAACATAAAGCCGTCAACTTTAAAATAAAAGAAAAAATGAAGCACGAAATTTCTGCTGCTTCAAGTTTCATACCTCAGTGACTCTTTGATCGACAATCGGCGGAACTACAACGTAACCGATGATCAATGCTACAGTTATAAGTACCACGCCGACAAATGGTCCAACTAATATCCACTTTGACATGATTAATTACTTTTTTTGATAATTTTGTTGTTTTTGATGTTAATATTTAATTTCCACTTTGAAAATTTACTTTCGAAGGTTTTTATTCTCGAAATAATTTTATTTTATCTTTTTATCACAAAATTGTAAACATTACACATTAGTTAAACCATAATAATAACAATATTTTAAGATCAAGCGTCTTTTCAAGAGCAGATCTTGAAGTAATTACGAAATTCAGAAGAACTGCTGATCAAATACAATTTTTATTTTCTTTTGTTTCCGCGTTTCACGTCTGAGTCTTACGAGCGACTAACTATTACTGAATGTTATAAAACGGCGCTAAGAGAATAAGCGACAAGCAACATTGCGCTATTGGAGTATTTTTTTTTTATTTTCCGTTCACACTTGTAACTCAGCCGGTCTGCATTTCGACATTGATAAGATCAACTCAACATTAACCACTTAAACAAAACAATGAAACATTATCAATGAAGTTTCTTACAACTTTTTTTGATGCAATCTCAAAACTTTCAAGCTTAAAGCATCATGCAAAACATTGACTTACGCTTGAAAACATGCGAAAGCCTCTGAGCAGCGTATTTTAAACAAATCGGCAGAAGTAATGGAAATGTTGTGTTTATTTGTTGTTTTACAATATGACATCTATGAATCATTTGTCTTTCGGCTTATGCCGATGTGATATTCAAAATTAATAATATAAACGTACACAAATTCCCATCATACACAGAGACGAGTTTTTAATTGGTAGATAGAAAATCACTCTCCATTGTTTGTACGAGATGGTAAAAAATATTCCGATTGTGCAGTGATGATTTTATTGTGATCCATACTGATGATGAAGAGGAAGAAGACGTCAATGCCTTGCAAAAAAATTAAGCCGTTTAAGACTGAGGACATGAATTAAAAATTTTATAATAATTGCTTCATAACAGTTCAAGCAAATGACTTGCGGAAAAATAGTACAAACATTTACCGGTGTCAGGTTATCTCGACACCTTGATCAATTCTATTATTCATACTCAAATATTATATTTAGGTGAAATCATGTAACAAAACTAAATTGCGATTCTTATCATAAGCACAAAAAAGGTGATTTCAAATTCATTAATATTTTATTAATGATGAATAAACTTAAAAAATTCGTAATAAATATTAAGCAGATTAATTTTAAGCTTTCTATAAAAAAAGCTTCCGTCTTTTTAAATAAATAACAAAAATCAAGATAAACTTTAGCCAAAAAACCAATAAATGTTCTACAGGTAGCTTCACAACGTGTGAGTTTCAAAAGTCATAAAAGCGTCATTAAGCTCCCGCTTCTTCTTCACACATTATTAAATTTATTGTTTTCAGATAAAAACTAATTTTTAACGGTTTTATTGTTTCAAATTTTACGCATATGGCAACACGAATGACTCCGAAAATTGTAAAATTATTAGTTTGTTTTCATCGATAAATTTCTTCATAATCTACGTAATTAATCAGTTTTTTGTAATAAGCTATACCAAACATTCACCAGACACATACCAACAGTTGTTTAAATAAGAAAATATTTTTTAAAATATGGTTTATAATAAAGAAATTTAAAATTTTTCTGACATGTTTTGTGGCATTTTATGAAAAAGTCTCTTCTTATAATTTATTCATAAATTCACTGTGAAATTGAAAACAAACAGATCATGACGACTGAACGAAGGAATATGAACTGGGACCGGTCAGTTACAAATATTTTTCTCTTTATTGATGACTCATAATTCAATATTTTCTAGATTTGGGCTTGACTCCGATGACATACCGAGGACGGCAAGAGCACGTCACGCATCAGGTGGCTTTGTAGATCTTGGGAATGAGTCTGAATTTGCAGTATCTGGACATCAGCCTTCTGGTCCCGATGAAATGTTTGCAAATGAGCAAGGGGACAAACCATGGTGGCGATCGCATTTCTTCATCTCACAACCCACGCTCTTCGGCAAGTGGGATGGAGTGTTTACGACATGTATGGTCAATATATTTGGTGTGATTGTCTTTCTACGGTCAGGATGGATCGTTGGACAAGCTGGTATTTTACATTCAATCATGGTGATCGTTTGTTCCGTGGGAATCGCATTAATTAGCGTTTTATCAGCAATTGGAATCGTTGAACGTATTCGTGTGGAAACAGGAGGAGTCTACTTCCTTATAGCGCATACACTTGGGTCAAGATTTGGAGGAAGCTTAGGATTACTTTATTGTTTCGGCCAAGCTGTTGGTTGCGCTTTAAATGTTCTTGGTTTTGGTGAATCTATGGCTGGTCTTGTCCATCTTGAACACAGTCCTGGGGCCATACGAGGCTTTGCTGCCGCTGCTGTCATTCTCCTCGGTACAATTAATGTGGCTGGTGTCAAATGGGTTGTGAAACTTCAGTTTGCATTGCTCATTATTCTTCTTTTGTCGGCATTAGACTTTATGGTCGGATCCTTCATTACTGACCCAAGCGATGAAGGCTTTCAAGGCTGGGGAAGTGGAAATTTTGTAGAAAATTTATGGCCAGCATATCAAGACGGTATCTCATGGTTCACAGTGTTTGGTGTATTCTTTCCAACCATCACTGGCGTTCTCTCGGGGATAAATATGAGCGGTGATTTACGTGCACCATCAACTGACATTCCAAATGGCACTCTTGCAGCCTTATCAACATCAACGTTCCTTTACATGGTTTTTATGATTTTCCTTGGCGCGACAGTACAACGCGAGACACTTTTACACGATTTCATGATAACATCTCATGTTTCCGCTATCAATTTTCTTCTTCTTGCTGGAATTTATGTGAGTTCCATGAGTAGTTGTCTTGGTGCAATGTATGGAACACCGCGAGTACTTCAATCAATAGCGAATGAGTCAGTGATTCCTGGAATGGGCAAACTTGGGACTGGTCGTGGGCCGAATAAAGTTCCACTCAATGCTATGGGAATTGTAGCAATTGTTGTGATTGGCTTTGTCACTGTCGGGGACATTAATACATTAGCTCCCATTGTAACAATGCCTTTTCTTCTTACATACGCTTGCATCGACTATTCATACTTTGCACTCGCTCAGACGTTTGATATTCAGACAAAGAGAGAAGAAAGGTTTCGAATACAAGCGGCGTCGCCACTTTATGAAACAAGACAACATTATGGCGCAACGAACCATCACGAGAATGATCTTGATCAACTCTTTCCAGAACGTACAAGACATAAAAATCTTTCTAGTCCAGAAAATACTCCATATCATCAACAACGAGTGACACCACAGCCATCGCATGGTACAAATTCAGTTCAAGATGAAGTCATCATTAGAGATCCAAGTATCAACAGTAATAATGTTGAAGGGGAAACTGGCGATGCTGATGACGAACCAATTGCACCGATTCGTCCACCAATTCATCAAAAGACTAAAAATTGGTATTCCGGATTTTGTAATCGGTGGGCGTCATTGATGGGGGTGAGTTAGAAAGTTAATTAATTTTCGCAACAGGAAAATCCTTCTTCTGAGTATTCATAAGCAGAGTTGTGTATCGATAAACTAAAAACATAAATTCACTTCTTTAATCTTCCAATTCATCGAAATTTCACTGTAAATTCAAAATAATTTGACGATTACCCTTGCAAAGTCTTTGTAACGAAATTCAATTCCAATTTAAGCTCTTTATAGGATTAGGAAAAAGATTTCAAAGCTTTTCAATTATAAATATCAATTATTCTTTAAATAGGCTGGAATTAAAATCTTCATCATGATGCTCGTCAATTGGGTCTTTGCGCTGATTTGTATCACTGTTGTGTTTGTTGTTTGGTTCTATGTTGGAACTGCTAATCCCGCGGTAAAGCCTGGAATTGCTGATGAATTTCGATTGTTTGTGTGGCTCAAAGGAATTGTCTTCCAATGCTTTGGGTAAGTCAAACAATTTTCTTTTGTATTTTCTTCCATAAATTAATTTATTGACTTCCACCACAGGAAGAAAGTTCACGATTATGAACAAGTTATCGTTACACCTCATGTTAATGTTAATTTGACTCAAACGCAATTGAATGAAGAGAATGAAGATTTCAGTTCCAGACGAAGATATCATCAAACTGGGACAGTAACAGGGCAGTTAATCGAAGATATTTAATTAATTGAGCAGCACTATTAGTTGAATTAAGATAGAAAGTCTTTTATTTAATTAATAACTAATCATTCTATTTTCTTTTTTAATTAAAAGTCATCAGAATAAAACATGATGGTAGCTAAATTATTTTTTTATCCAACCAAATTCATTCATTCATTGTTTGATATATTTTTTATATAAAATTTTAATTTAAATTTTTATCTTTCATTTTGATTGAGCGATTGATTCATGAATCTGAAGGATCTACGTAACAGGCTTGTTCGTCCTTCTTTCGAGTGCCTTTATCATCGTAAACATCAGTTTCACAATAAATAGAATAAAATCAAAAGCATTTAAATTTTATGAGACTTAAAATAAATTTCAAGTCAGTGCAACAAATATAATGAAATTATTCAAATATCAACGTTTCTACCTTTAGCATAATTCTCTTATTCTTATTTATAAAAGCAGCAAAAAAAGTTAATTAAACTGAAAACTTTAATTGATTTTGAATAAAAAAGGAAAACTTATGGAAATCGATAAAAAGTTCGATTAGTGAAAGATAAAATTCAAGCAACAAGGATTCAGAAAATCCATATAGAAACTTAGACAAAAAGCTAAATAATGTTAAAATAAATGACTCATGACTAAGCATTGTATATAACATTACGTAACTGCAATAAAATTTAAATGTTTCTTCAAACAAAGAAAAATGTCTTTTTGATACTTTTTGAGAATAAACTAAATTTATGTGTTTGCGACATTTTGGATGAGAAGTCATGTAAATCAACAGTTAAATCGACAGCTTCCGTATGTGATTTTGTATCATATCTTTTCATGTGAGAGAATTTTGAAATTGCAATGCTCATTCTTATCAACATTTTGAATAAATTTGTTCAATCACAAAGTTGGTTTCATGACAATTTCAGAAATGTGATGATGAATGTGGGTGGAACTTCATTCAGACTTCGATATATGTCATCGTATCATCAACTGCATTTTCATACAAAATAAAAGTTATATTAATTATAAATTAACATTAATACTTTGTAATATTTCGATAAAGAAAAGAAATTTAATTAATTCTACTTAGAAAAATTTATTTTTTGCTAATTCATGAAATTTCAAACAAAAGAAATCGAAGAATCTTGAATTTCTGTTATGAACATTATAAAGTATTTCAATTGGTATCAATTTGTGGAATTAATTAAATCACTAATTAAACAACTTTCGTTTCAATTTCGACATTCCAAAATCAAAATGAAGAAGAAGAAGTCAATTATTGTGAAAGCTTAAACACCGGATGGAACTGATTCAACATCCCTTCAAACATTTTTTTATTGTTCATATATTGACGATATATGGAGAAAATTGAGTCACTGATTTATCCTGCAGTTATTGGATTTATGTTTCCACTGAATGTGTAGTTGAAGAATGGAGACACAATCAAATTATCCAACCTGTGGGATTCTCGTAGGGTATATTGGCACACGTGAAAAGTAATTTTATCCTATGTAGTGAATATTTCTTCCAAGAATGTATCTCGTCCACATTAAATATGTCTCAAGGTGAAGCTTGCTACCTGAAGGGAGACAACGGAAAAGTTTCCATGAAATTCATTTCCTTATTCAATAAAATTTGCGTACATATTCAAAACGTAATTTTAAGAAATTCTACTTATTCTCTTATCATCATTTCTGGTATTGATTTTTAAAAAAATCCCTGCAGTATCTCTAAGCGACTCGACAAAAAGAAAATTTTCATGCCGGAAAGACGGAAACATTAAGCTTCCACCGTAAATTTCGCGATATAATAGCGCACGCTTCCACAAATTGTCGTTCAGTGAAATGAAGCGTTTCATTCAATTATTACAGCATCAATAGTTATATTTTATATAGATAATAAGATTACCAGAATGAATGAAATTAACCAAATGTTCTTCTTTTTATAAAATAAATTAAAGTTTCATTGAATCTTGAGTTCATTAAACCAAATTTCAATTGCCAACTTCATTTTGATCTCCAAAAATTTGCAGTAATAAAGTGGACATGATAACTAATAAAATGAGAAAATTTATGTTTCAACAAAAGCGAACGTCAATCCAATTACCTCCGCCTAGTCGTTCGAGTGTCTACTTTTACTTTGTTTTCACTTCTAAGCGGTATCATATATCAAGTGTCCCTTTTCTTTACCGTGACAATTTTTTACATCGAGAAAATCAGTAATGCCCACTAAAAGATAACGAGCTTCGAGCTTCAAATGTCAATGAGCCTACGTAGGCTAAAAATACACATAAATATTTCGTTTCACTTCCATAGAAGCGAATTTCATAGGAAATATCATCACCTAACGACGCTTAAAAAGAATGAATCAAAAAAATTAAATATCGCAACTGACAGAAAACATTTGAAGAAGATAAAAGAAAATTTTTGCTATGATCCTTCAAAAATCGCAATAAATGAAATGAGAAAAAGCGCGCGAAGAATTTTTAGAGAAAAGTTATCAAGATATTGATTTTCATGTCTCAAAAGATTTTCTCCACTTACTTTGATGAAGATGTTATCAAGTTTTATTAGAATTATGCACGCTTCGGTGATAAATGAAAGCTTCACGATAAATATTTGGTGTTAAAGTTATTCGAGTGACATACTTTTATCATTTTAACATGAAGTCGAAAATAAGAAAATTTCTGGAATTTTGTCAAACAGAATGACGGAAATGTTTTGATGAATAGCTCTCACGACACTTGTTTATTGTTGAAGTGTTGCGTAGAATGTAGCGTCAAAAATGCTTTACTCAGTTCTGAAATTGATCTTATGTTTAGTTCAACTAATCGATTTCTGTTATTTGTTTCGTCTTCCATTTCAACCCTGCAAAGCTTTAAAAGCTTAAAAAATATTTAACACTCTTTTTGCAAGTTGCGAATGATTCAAAGATTTTTTATACAAATTTTATAAAATGTTAAGAAATCATAACAAATGATTAAGATAATCTCAAACAATTTTTCAACGAGTGATGACAAGAGCTTGCCAATGTCATTAGAAAAATTTCATGCTCATTTTTTAATATAAAAAGAAATTTTGTATTGAAAATATTTGACTGTTCGTGAAAAGCTCATCATTTGAAAAGAATTTCTAAATGAAAAATTATATTTATGGCGTTTCATGAGCAGACAATAAATAAATTGAAATCGATTTTCCAATCACTTGCTCGTAGGTTTCATCCGGAAATTGGGAATTAATCTAATCAATTTCGGTTTGTGTCAGACCCTCTTTCAGTTATTGTTGTATAAACGTTATTTTCATCGATATTGGCAATCATTCATAAAGCTTCCCATTTTATGATTTTTTCTCTTAACGAGATACTTTCATTACTTATTGTATTTTGCATTAGTCTGATTGAGATGAATTACAACGGTATTCAGCGGGATTTCTATCAAAAGATATACAAAGAAAATTAATTGGTCAATTTAATTTATTTGCGCCGATTTTATACCACATTTCCAGACCAATTCATTAAACATGAATCTCCGTAACATTTTCTTGATTGATTTACAGCTTGAGGCAATTTCACGATAATTTTTTAAACCTCAGTGTCCAAAACTTTTTGTTGCTTCTCATAAACATCTCTGAAAATTTACAAAACAAAAACAAACCTCCATAAATTACAATTTAACATCTTTTTTGTGTGTTGATCCTCGTGAAAAATGATAATTAAATCTTTTCTAGCTGCTTCTACAGAGAGCTTTGCTAAGTATTTGTCCTTAAGGCATAAATACTAAAGCTTTGCCTTCGATGAAAAACGAAAGTCATTGTACAACAATAAAAGAAATAAATGAAAAAGAGAAATGTTTAAACAAATTGCTCTCTATTTGAATGGAAACATTACTATGGATGATGGTGTTAAATTTCACGGTGAAAAGGTATTCAAGCAACGTTGAAATTGTTAACCAAATCGTTTAGATGGAACCTTAAAACAGGTGTTCATGTTGAATATGGAAATTAAAAATTACATGGAGAATTAAATGAAAATAATCTTTACGATACATTTCAGTTAAAAAAAACGTGGAAAAATTCCTTCTCGTTTACACCTTCCTTGTGAAACTTTTTATTTCTTCTCTGTTCATACATAAAATTAGATCATAAATATTCATGGAATCAGTGCGTTCGAATGAGAAGCATTTGAGATGACGAATTATTTACATAGAAATGCGTTCACTCACATGGAAGCAATTTCTTTCTTCGAGAGACATTAAAAGTTTCTTTTAAGTAATTTTTATTAATGAAAGCACTTATGAGAAACATCTCATGAAAAAGATTCTTGTTTGAGCTTAAATACATTTTGAGATTTAATATTTCATGTCCGGAAACAACCATCAATCAATTGGGAAAGAATATTGCGATAAAAAGGCTGAGACCCGTGAGCGAAACAACATCAAACGTTGCGAAGGCTAATAAAATTATCGTTTAATTACTAACCTTCCTGATGGCGAAATTAAATTTGGCGTCTCTCAAAGCTTCTTTTCCTTTATATTTATTAACAAAACATCCGCGACTTGTCACGAGAATGTCAAATAATTAATAACGATTTACAGACAAAGTTCATGATTTACAAGTAAACACGTTGCTTAAGTCTGTCGTGTCCACAACATAAGCTTTTAAAATTTAAAATTGTTCACATGCACTACGTGGCAGAAATTTCAAAACCACATCAAGTTCATTATTAGTGAAAAGAACATAAAAGAATCTTAAAGCATTTTATAAAACTGCTGAGCTTGAATGAAACTTCTAATGGATTTTGAGTGTCCATGTTTTTATGAGAAATCCATGCACTCAAAAATTTACTGAATTGACAAGAATAATTTATTCCGAGCACATTTTTGAAGATCACTACAAACATTTAAGGATAAATGTTAATTTTCTTTTGAAGTTTTTCCCCCTCTTGGTTATCTACTGATGTTGGAATTTGCAGTTAATTAATAAGTAAGACTCAAACTTCATCATCATCATCATCAGAGTAGGGAGTGTACTGACCAGTACACTAAAGCGATTAAGAATATAGGGGTAAAAAACCCCATCTTGTTTCGCTCCCTGTATCTCGTCGCTTGATGACTGATGTTTAATATGAAAAAGTTCGTTAACTACTATTATTGTATTGAACAAAATATAACCCGTTCACGGATCTCAAAACGCAAAGAATCAGGAAGATGGGGGATATTTGGGATTTATTCTACAAACCTTCAGAGATAAAATTCTCTGAAGATGAGAACCCTCACCAGCCATCTCCCTGATCTCACTGTCAGCCGAAGAAGGTGGATCGGACACCCGTTCTCCTCATGAAGAGGAGAAGATCCTCCAGATCCACCTCCGCGAGCTCCTCAGCATTGATGACAGTGTGGTTTAAGATCCTTCTCCTTTCTCTAGAGAAAGTTTTAATGAAAATGAAGGAACGTGAACTTTTTGTAAATTATAGACGTCACTCAAGAAGCACCCAAATTTTTGTGAAGTAGCGATGTCATTTATGATATACTCAAATTTTTGGAAAACTGCAACGTCATTTATGATGTGTTCGTTCTGAATGCACTAATGTCCATATGGGTAAACTATGTGATTTTTGGCGCAAAATTTGAAAATATTTTTATTATAAAGATATTTCAAGGTCACAACAACAAAACATTTTTAGTTTGTGGACATAGTTTGTGGACATATTTTGTGGACAAAGTTTGTGGACATTGTTTGTGGACATAGTTTGTGGACATATTTTGTGGACATATTTTGTGGACATTGTTTGTGGACATAGTTTGTGGACATAGTTTGTGGACATATTTTGTGGACATAGTTTGTGGACATATTTTGTGGACATTGTTTGTGGACATAGTTTGTGGACATAGTTTGTGGACATATTTTGTGGACATAGTTTGTGGACATAGTTTGTGGACATATTTTGTGGACATTGTTTGTGGACATTGTTTGTGGACATATTTTGTGGACATATTTTGTGGACATTGTTTGTGGACATAGTTTGTGGACATTGTTTGTGGACATATTTTGTGGACATAGTTTGTGGACATATTTTGTGGACATATTTTGTGGACATAGTTTGTGGACATAGTTTGTGGACATATTTTGTGGACATAGTTTGTGGACATAGTTTGTGGACATTGTTTGTGGACATATTTTGTGGACATATTTTGTGGACATTGTTTGTGGACATAGTTTGTGGACATAGTTTGTGGACATATTTTGTGGACATTGTTTGTGGACATAGTTTGTGGACATTGTTTGTGGACATATTTTGTGGACATAGTTTGTGGACATATTTTGTGGACATTGTTTGTGGACATAGTTTGTGGACATAGTTTGTGGACATATTTTGTGGACATAGTTTGTGGACATATTTTGTGGACAACGAAGATCCTTTTAGAGATGAATTCTAAGCATTGTGAACATCATATGAATAAAGTTCATCATCATCATCAGAGTAGGGAGTGTACTGACCAGTACACTAAAGCGATTAAGAATAAAGGAGTAAAAAAAACCCCATCTTGTTTCGCTCCCTGTATCTCGTCGTTTGATGACTGATGTTTAACTATGAAAAATTTGTTAGCTATTATTATTGTATTGAGCAACATATAATCCATACAATGATCTCAGAACGCGAAAATCAGGAAGATGGGGGATATTTGGGATTTATTCTACAAACCTTCAGAGATAAAATTCTCTGAAGATGAGAACCCTCACCAGCCATCTATCTGATCTCACTGTCAGCCGAAGAAGTCGAAAGAAGGTGGATCGGACACCCGTTCTCCTCATGAAGAGGAGAAGATCCTCCAGGTCCACCTCCGCGAGTTCCTCAGCATTGATAACAGTGTGGTTTGAGATCCGAACTTGGCTTGAAAGTAGTAAATTACATTGTGAAGTAGTAACAAGAGTGAATATTAACAAAAATAAAAGACTTGATTGATTCATAACATTTCTTTGATGGAATCTTTAAGAGTTTTGATATGTGGATATAGAAGTTTTCTGTTTGTGTCGGTGAGAGCACGTAAAACAACTACAAGCAGATGACATTATTGAGGTAAATAATTACATTCTTGTGGGGGATATTCCTATAATGGGTCACATGATTTTTCGCTCTGTATTTCCTAATACCTACTTTTGTTGATGTAATAGTGTTATCTGTGAGAGTAGTTTTTAAAATAATAAAAAGTATGAATATGAACGAAAATGAAAGACTTGATTAATTCATAAAATCTCTTTATTAAAGACCTTGAGACTTTTGGTCTATGAAATGAAAGCACTAAAAAGGAAAAATAATTTTTGAAATATGAGACGTCACTTTTTGAGCGCCCCTTGAATTGTAACTTAGAGAGGTCGTTTGGAGTACACACGTATGTGAGTCCATATGGGCAAAATGAACACCTATTTATGTAGACAATGTGAGTCCATATGGACAATATGAATATTTGTTTATGTGAATAATACTATTTTTCAGATTGTGAGGTAGTTTTAAGATCAGATCAGAAACGTTACCTTTACAGTTGCAGAAATTAATAGTCTTTCCTTTAGCTGTAACCTGGGATGAAAGTAATTTGCTGTGTAAAGAAAATTTTTAAAAATGGCGCTGTGAAATCATAACAGCATTGACAGATGAAGCCATCATCATAATTATTAGTGAAACCATCACTTAGATTTTTGAAGACATCAAACATAGAATCACTTCTTAGCAGCGCTAGAAGAAGATTTTGCAACCAGCAACAAGATTTCTTTAGTTTTGTTGAGGGAAAAAATGAAAGACCGCATTTTATATACAAACCTTTGAAATTAACTAAAACTTTGAAAAAGACACTGAAACAAGCATAAATATAAGTGTTCTCCAGGCTACCCTTATTTATCAGGGTGTGTAGCTAGATGAACACTGGTTTTATCCACTTAATTTTGTGTTAAGATCATTAAACTTAAATAAATACTTATTTAATCGAACCAACCTGACGGACAGTCCGACAAAAACCTCCAGACTCAAACTTAATTAC